TCTCAACCGAGTAGCTCATGGAGACGACTCCGAGATACAGAGCGACTTGTACCACAAAGACGTCAAAGAATACCATCTAATAGGTTGCTGACAATTGTATTTGAGGTAGAACTTGTCTATGAAGGATGTCCAGAAGGAGTGTTTGCAGAATAATTCCATAATGAAGATACCGAAGTTCATGCTTGGTTACAAGTAGAATGCTTGGGATATTATTGATGGCTCCAAGGGCCTATAAACCATTTACTTCACAAAAAATAACTAGAATATATAACGGACACCATGCAAAAGAACTTCAACTTCTTATACATATATTGACTTGCTACAATATTGCTTCTCGAAGACCTTGAAGCTAAAAGAGAAGGTGATGTCATGGATATATAATTGAAGAAGGTTCCAAAAGGTTCCAATAGAATCTAAGAAGGCTCTAAAATATTCTAGGAGGTTCTTAAAGGTTTCAAAAGATTCTAGAAGATTTCAGTGGCTTCCAAGAAGGTTCCAAAAGGTTCCAATAGATTCTAAGAAAATTATAAAAAGTCATAGGAGATCCTAAGAGATTTTAGGAGGCTTTGGATGATTTAGAAAGTTATCAAAGTGAAATCTTAGGCTTGCTTTATTTCCAAACTTCATAGAAACTTCGCAAGAAGCTTCCTAGGACCTAGTATATATAGGAGTCGAGGCTGAGGAGATCATCAATATTGACAACTTACTTCTTGTAGTCTTGCTAGGACCTTCTTGCCTTGTACCCAATTGTTGTTCTAATGTCAAGCTAATTCCAATTCTTGGTCTTGAATCCTTGTCTTGTATATGGTCCCTAATACCTATCTTATTATAAGGATTATACTAGTTGTTTGTCTTTCTATTTCTACTAGCATTTTTTTTTTTTTAATTTTTACTTCATCGTACTTTTTTAAAATATCTAATAAGAATAATTATCTTAAATAGTCTTCAAATCTTACTCTATTTCTTCAAAATGGTCTTCCAAAGTAATAAAATTTATTTTTACTAAAGACTTAAAAATTACTCTAAATATTTATAAATAATTAAAAATAAATTATATAATATTTCTAAAATATTAATATCAAATCAAAGCTATTTTTCATACCTTAAAAAAAATCATACTATTAAAATAAATTTAAATCAACTAAAAATCTTATTTTCTTAATAAATAGATAAAAAAATTGAGATTCTTTCTCATGCTTTTTTTAACTTCTAAATAATATTTATATGTTTTTTATAAATAATAAATATAAATAAAAGGTTAATTTAGAAATTAATATAAATAAATAAATAAATAAATATTAATAACTCAATAATAGATAAAAATACTAAATCAACTAAGATAATTACTTCTAAGATTTACCAAGATTCTATTTTAATAAAAACAAATCATAAGACTTTTCATAAAACTTTTAAATTCTAATAAATACTTAAATAATATAATAAATTATTTAAGATTTATATTTTAATATTAAAAAAATTTAAAATTATATTTTAATTAATCTACAAATTAAGATGCATTGATAAGACTCACATAGGTACCTTCTTAATATTAGAATAGAGCTTTCCATATACTACAAGAATTACATCTCAATCTTCTCTTATACTAGCTATTGCACAAAACCTCAAACTCAATGCTAAATTCATTAAGTTTAATAGTTTCCACTACTATACAAAATATTTATATTTTTTAAGTTCTTCTATAAACAAAAGCCATCTCTTCTTGATTGTTAGAATACAAAATAGATCTATAACTTTTTTTTATTTTATTTTTTCAAAAAAAAGATAAAATCTTATATCCTAGGTGATGTCAAATCTTTATATATTTCTACTTCTTCATCTACTTCTAAAAACTACTATCTAATTGCTAATTATCTTTTCTTTAGATAAATAAAGCCTACTACTTCTTGTTATACCATAAGATAGCTCAAGCTTAAAATTTCAAACTAAAAAGTGTACAAATTCTACATAGACTTTTTTTTTCTTCTCTATATATGGTAGTAAATATAATTTATAATTTTAAAATTTATAATACTTTGATTTTATTGCTCTACTATGGTAATAGTTTTTTTTAACCAAAAAATATTTTTCTTATATTGAATAGTTTAGATATAACAATTATCACTTCAAAATCCAATAAACTCCAAGTAAATATAAAAATAATAATATGGACACCTTAAAATTTTAGATTCACTTTATGTATCATCTCATTCCTTCATTCTTTACTACTATAATATCTTCTTCTATCAAAAAGTCTTTAAATCTTACAAATCCACAATTATTGGCTTTTAAAAAATTATAGTTCCATCATTGTATTTTTAATGCTTGCATTGTCTTGTAGCCTCTATTTTTCCCTCAATATTTAATAAATCAAGGTCATAACACCTTGGTGCCTAGTTCACTCTATTATTTGGTGCTTATCATTTATGCTATCGATAGAAATAAAATAAAGGATATTGATTGTATTGGAGATGGTGGTTGAGTAAAAATATGTAAAAAAATAACTTTAAGGATTGTTATAGTAATTTCTTGTGTGGTTCTAAATATGCCTACTACAACTTTCACTTATCTTCTCATTTCTTCAATTTAATTTTTTTCTATAGTTTCTCTTTTAATTCAAATTTGTTGCAAAATTGTAGTTAGATCATTCAAATTAAGTTTCATTATTTCTTTAGATGATTGTTATGACTAGTAAATAATGACCATTGCAACAATAGTTCATATATAAAAGTATCAATAATCCTATTAATTATCTCAATTTCCAAGAAGTATATTAATCATACATTAAATAATATAAAGATTATGCAAATTAATTTCTCTACATAAGGCTTTATGGAAAATAAATGGTTTTTTATTCAATACTAAAATCTTTATAAATGATGGTGAATCTAATTAAAATTATAGCACAAGTTTGATGTCAAAGCAGCAAAAGACTAATTTAGAATATAACACAAGGTTGATTTGATATGCATCACAAGACAAGTTTGGAATGTTGTATAAGGTTGATCTAAAATAGAGTACAAGATTACATAAAAAAGAATCCTTGAATCATTTAGTTCTTATTTATCTATCAATTTTTTTCATCTTGCCATATTATCTTATTATATAAAATCAACTTACTACTATTGCTCCAAATCTATGCAACTAACCTTCTTATTATATATCCAAATCTCTTGTTTTTATTTTTCATCAATGGTTGCATCAATTAGCTCTTTTTTACCAAGATTTAGCCTAAGAAGCATAAAAGGCGTCAAAATGAGAGAACAAGTTTGCACTACAATCTACAACTATTAATGTAGTATTAAAATCTAACATGAAAATATTTTGAGAGTACCAAGAATATAAAGGTCAATTGCTAAGATACACTACACACCTTCTAGAGCTTATGTTGTTGTGGTGTAAATCATCTATTATAACATCTTAGCAATCTAAAAAATCCTTATAAATCATTTGAATAATCTAAATAATCCAATTACCTTATACTTATATATGAAGTAGGATCTTTTTCAAATTATAACTTATAGAAAAATTCTTATATAAATAGCAAAAAATCCACAATAATTATAATATATATATATATATATATATATATATATATATATATATATATATATATCATAAAAGTATACTCATCTACAAGGAAAAAAACAAACACTTCAATTCTTCTAAAAAATTAATTTAAAAAAAAAAAAAAAAAAAAAAAAAATTATGGATTTTGTAAGTATTTAAACAATACAAGACTTGAATAAGAAATAAAAGACCTTCAAAACCTCCTTCCAAGACCCCTTTCAAGATTTAAGATCTAAGTCTTATACTTGTAGTAGCAGCATGCCCCATAACATGCCCCATAACATGCCCAAGTATAGATTACTACATTCTTGATAATACTCTTAATCATGATATAGGCAAGTTAGAGATATCTAATCCAAGAACCAAATGTCTTGAATTTAAAAGTAGAATACATTAGATTGGCTTTTAAGAGTGCTAGCCACATGGAATTAATTAAAACACTATAAATAACTACAAGATCAAAGATTATATGTGCATGCATATATAAAGGGTAAAAAAAAAAAAAAAAAAAAAAAAAAAATAGTATTAAAAGCCTAGTATAAGGCCAAAGGTTCTTATTACTATTATTGTTAATACAATTTTTTTTCTTCAAATTGTTTATGAATTTAGACTATTTTTTCTAATTCATAACTTTGTCTTTCTTTTAGTTTTTTTAAATCTAAATGTAGCCCTTGCAACCTTTATTAAAATTAAGTTACATGTAATCCAACTCAAAACTAGTAGTTGGTGTGGAAATCTTCTTATTTATTGTATTTTACCTTTTAAAAATAAATATGATCTTTCAAGATTTTAACCTTATATTAAGGTAGTATAAATTATTCTTGTTATTTAAGCTATTAAAAAAATTGTTTTGAAAGTTGTTTTCTTTCTACAAAGCATTTATCATTAATAATAAAAAAATATAAAAAATATAAAAAATAAAAAAAGTTGGACAAACATTATTCTCTTACATGAATTACATTTTTATCAAACTCATGTTTAGTTTAAAAATAAAAATAAAAATAAAAAAAATAAAAAAAAACTATGTTACCTTTTTAAAAGCCTTCAATAGACTCACACTTACAAAAGATAAGGCTGGATGTGGCCTTCCAATTTTTTGATGTAGTCCTGAGGTTCTCTGCCTAAGATTGGGAGCATTTCGATATTGCTGGTTACCTCATAAAAATTTACCCAACACTCTCTCGTTTACTCGAAAGATGAACTTCCAACAGTCGATGAACTAGATTAGGAGTTTTATAGATAGACAGTGCAATATGAAGGTTACAGTGATTTGTTATATCGAAAGAGCATTGTTTGAACTTGGCACAAAGGTCGGGTATTGAGTGGAAATATCGTTGAGGACGCTGTGGGTGTGTGATTTACATCACAACGAATGTAACAGTGAATAACTCTCATGAATGGGTATCTAGTTGAACCACGTCTGTACCAATTCAGGCATTGAATAGAAGGTCGCTCCATTAATTCAAATGTTCGCTGCTTGCAACTGTACAAGGTTTGCGTGCCACAAGCATAACCTGAGAATTGAACCCGTAATTTAAAAATTCTCTAAGCAGCTAGATAGAAGATTTCAACAAGTGTAGAATGAACCCAAATATGTTCATCTATTTTAGAGAATACTCAGCAACAAACAAGTGCAATGATCCAGCTGTAAAAGATAGTACCCGTATCATACCGGTAGCTAATATAAACAATGATCAAGTTTCCTTGTGCCACAGCGACATCCACAGCTATGGGCCACTCGTATTAGAAAATCTCGTAAACAATTGTTTTGGACATCCTAAGGAACTAGTTTAAAGTTGGGTGGTTGCCGTAAAGAAGCAACGCGTAATCTCTAGTCGAATAGAGAATTCACATTTTGCGTAAGTTGTCAAGACGAGCTTGTAAGTCACTGTCAATTCCCCCATCATCCGATGCTGAACCTCCTGCTCCCTGAGGTTGAGCAACTTTGGACGGTGTAGCTTGTACTTGAGGCTCTGTTGCATGAGCTGGAGCCGTCATCAACTGAAATTCATCCAAACCAAAATGAAAGTTAGAGAAGCTTGAAAGTGCAAGATGGACCACGAGACGTCATACTTCACGCAGGTAAAATGTTAGCGAGATTAAAAGAGCTCATTCTAAACATCACTAATCATCTATGATACAAACAGAGAACATCAACTCCTTCGGGCATTCACGCTTGATGACGGACAACCTACAACACTGAAAAGGGCTACCTGTACGGTAACGAAGTAATAGAGAGAGCTTGGTTACCTGAGAGTCGAGATCAATGCCAATTTCATCAAGTACTTGGCTCACAAGCTCTTCAGTTTCCTCTTCCTCCTCATCACCTTCCAAAGCATCGTCAATAGCATCGCCCATAACTTCAGTTGTCATTTCCATCTTCTCATTCTGCCTTTCGAATTCCATCATAATCTTCTGAAGTGCAGGTAAATTCATCTGCCTATTCATCTGACCCATAGCCTTTGTGACCCCCTTCATAGCTTCGGCCATAGCCTGGGTCGACTTTAATGTCTGCCAAATCCAAGTAAAAAAGATCAACGATAATCATGATGTTCCTATCGTCTTCGAAGATGCAAAACAGTGCTTTCTTACTGCTTTGTGCAAAAGGAAAAGAAAATAGTACAGAAGAAAAATCAACTCTGCAGCATCACTAACCTGAATGCGCAGGGAGATGCCTTGTAGCTGTGATTTAAGACCATAAAATTTGGTGATTTGATGTCTCGTTCGAATCAAATCCTTCGCCATCACCTTAACTGCGCCCTAGAAAGATCATGTCCGAAGTTGACTTGTTAATACATGCACCATGTATGAATGAAATTCCTCCGCTCGAATTATTTTTCGACGAGAAAAGTTAAACATAAAAGCTAATACTATTTTAGCGGAAAATGATTGAGATTTTGATCAATAGTAGCACAAACTAACGGTAAGAACATGTATACAAAGCCAGGAAATTCCCTCCAATTAAATTTAGAACCTACCATTTGGCCTTGCTTGGCTGTCTTTTTTATCTCCACTATTAACTTCTTCTCCTGATTCTGCAGATTTTGTCTCTCGCGCTCTATCTCGCGAATGGACTTATCAAGTGCACGCTTATTTTCCCGCAGAAGTTCTGTAGTGCCAAAGAACCAAAAATGCAATACACTCACTTAGCGAAGAAAGGTCTCCAATTCATGATGTTCGAGAGCCACACATCGCAATCGAAAATTAGGGTTCCCAAACTACGGTGAAAAAAATACGACCCATACAGCATGCTACGCACCAAAAAAGAAAAGAAAAGAAAAGAGAAATCACTAGACAAACACGGTGATGATGGCAGTCAAAAACCTGCGGGAGTTTTCTTCTTTCCAAACAAGTTAAAACTCATGGTGATACCACGTCCTTCACAAACCAGAGAGCTGGGAGGAATTCGCTTCAGCAAACCCCTCTAGAAAAAATCTTTAGGTTGTCGTAATAAGCAGACGAGAATCTATCATCCAAAACAAGCAAGTTCTAGCGTAAGTCTTCTCTAGCACCACAATCGATTGATCGCACCAAAGCTACAGCACCTCATATCGATTGATCGATATGAAAACAGCTACATCAAGACCCCCGCCAACCACGCTCCCTTAACAACGCGTACCCACGATTAAAACCCGAAACAGGATAAATTTGACAGAAGCTCGTTAGCAATCGCGACATACCACCAATTATTGTGACAAAACCACCACACGGCAATTCTAGGCTGGCCTCGCGAGAGGTAGCAGCACAATTCGAGGCAGGGGTTTACAACTCGAAGATGCGATGGAGTCGGGTCGAAGACTTGCAAAGCATTAGCAACCCAATCGGATGAACGAGAACGAACCAAGAAGGAGCCTGTCCCGGCGGACCCCGCCAGATCATCACCTTGCCTGACGGTTTCAGAGACTCTCCGGCAAGCCATTTGGCTGTTCCGGCATCGAATCTCTTGAATGATTCTTATTTGATATTTGGTCACCGTAAATTAGTCACTACCATTTGTTTTATACCGAAAACTAGGGTTTTATGTATGGAAACACGCAAAGACGCCTTTCATTACAGTCATCAAAGCTGTCGTGGATGTGGTAAGTGGGTTACTCATTGGGTAGCCGAATAGTCGCAAGGGAATCAGGTGGGGAGTTGGACAAGATCGTGTTGTTCTTGAATTGGTGAAGAGGCAAGTCGTTTCCAAGCTTTTGGAGTTTTTGGCGGAGGTTTAGTGGGTTGTTTTAGGGGTTGGAGATTGTTGGTTGGGGGAGGGCGGAGGTTTAGTGGGTTGTTTTAGGGGTTGGAGATTGTTGGTTGGGGGAGGGCGGAGGTTTTGAGAGGAGTGAAGAGGATATGGGACGCGCGCAGGATGCGTCGATCTCCTTCGACTCTGTGCGGGACAAGAATGTTATGCAGCTGCGTAAGCTGAATACTGCCATCTTCCCCGTCTCTTACCAGGATAAGTTTTACACTGATGCGCTCAACTCCGGAAACTTCACCAAGCTTGGTAAGATTCGACGGATCGTTTGTTTACTCTTGATTTGCGCTAGTTCCGTTCATTTGTTTACGAAAAGGTTCTCAAATTAAAGATTAATAATAGAATAAAACAGAATTGGAGGAGGTTTACAACGTCGTCCCTCATCATGCCTGCATTTACAGCTCTAGCTGCACACTATTTTCCTGATTTTTTTTGGTGAATTATTAGTTCAATGTCACTTAATGCTTCACTTGCTGAGCCACTTGTGCCCCTTGGTGTTGCCCGTGTTGGGTTATTCTTGATTTTCATTTGCCTCGTAGAGTTGCTGCTTTGATTTTAGCTTTTCTTGGCTGCTGATTTCTGAATTATGGCTTTCTTAACCACCACTGTAATGTGATATCTAAGCGGAGATGATTCATGACCTTCTTTCAGCATATTACAATGATATATGCGTCGGATCGATTGCCTGTCGCTTGGAAAAGAAAGATGGTAGCAAGATGCGGCTCTACATCATGACCCTGGGAATACTCGCCCCTTATCGCAGACTAGGCATTGGTAAGTTTGTAATAAGCTGTGTATGTATGCACGTCACAAGCATATTTCAAGTAGTCATGGCAACATGCTTCTCCACCTCTCGTATGAAAGAAACATGATGAGATCGGATTTTCTTACAGTATACCTATTTTGGAGAATGATTGTTGTTATTGCTAACCCTAGAGACGACATTTGGAATCGCGCACTTTGTCCTTACTGGTGTCATTTGATGATGCAAGTGCTGTTATCATTTACAATGAAGAACGTTAATTGTGAAGTGGCCAGTGAAAAGGTTGGTTCGAAAACCAAAGATTGGCATAGGAAGATTACGACATTAAAATTCGTCATAAAGCGTCGGTTTCTGAGAGTAGTATGTATGCCATGAGTTGTAGCACTTTTCGACACGTGGAGCAGGAACACTAGCCGTAAGATTGAAAACTTATATTGTTCCTCTGCACGGAGTGGCTCTTAAGTTTTTGGCTTGTAAATCAACGTACAGTTGAGCTCTTTATTTGAACTTGTGGAAAGCTTCTTGCCCTAAACAGCCTGCCCGTGGGGTTCTGCACAGTTGAACTTTTTGTATTTGTTTTGTTGGACGTGGTGTCCTTCAACTCTGTTAGGTGGTGGTTCATTGCGAATGCTGTGTTCTCCACGTTGTGAGCTGCCCGGATCATCGGGCTAGTATAAAACCAAGGGGATGTTTGCCTGATACTTAATTCTTAGGAAACGTTCGTGATTCCTTTGTTTAGTCCAGCTCCGGTGGCCTTCTCTCATACCCATTCTTGTTGCACCACGGCAAGTATTCTGACTCAAATTTTTTGTGGCGCAGGCTCGAAGCTGCTTCAGAATGCTCTGGAACTTTGTAAGGATGATCCCAACATTGAGGAGGTCTATCTCCACGTCCAGATCAATAATGACGAGGCGATAGAGTTCTACCGACAGTTTGGGTTTGAGATTACCGACACTATCAAGAACTACTACAAACGGATTGAGCCTCCACATTGCTATGTCTTGTCTAAGTCCTTACTGCCTGTGGACAAAGCGAATGGGAACTCGTGATTCGCCACGGCCACACCTTGACATTACAATTTTGTGCTTTCTATTCTTTTAGATTGTGGTTATATTTGAAGTTCAGCCCGGTGAGTAGTGGATTGCCAAAGGCTTCCATAGCACACTAGCGTACAGGAATGAAAGAACATCTTTCAATTGTGTAATTCATGCTTACCATCGAGCTGTTTTGATGTGCAAGTTTTCAATCTGTCTTTGCATGTTAGGTAGACTTGGTTGCTATTTCGCAATCTAACTCAAATGGAGTTAACGTTTGTTGAATCAGTTATCCAGAGAATAGAACGCATGCGTGATAGAGGCAAGATGCTCGATATGAAAGTAAAGTTAATGCCTGAAACTGTGTTAGTTCTTTAAGGCATAGTGTGGGTGTGGGTATGTCCGCCCAGGTTCAGTTCATAGCCACGGCTAACTATCACAGATCTCCATCCTATTTTAGATCTCATTCTCCCAATCATACCACTTGTTAACGATGTCTAGGTCAGCCCAACACGCTCAAGTGAAGTATTCTTCGACTGATTTTTTGCTTGGGCCATGTACATTACGGTTGTAGATTATGTTAAGGAACTGTGGAGGTATTCTGTATCATGTAAGATCAAACCAAGCCCTGGTAGCTTATAAGTCCTTTCAGCACTCATCTGAACCGTCCCCTCCATTCAATGTTCTCACAAATGCTCCTCGAACGTCTTCTCCTGTTGACCTAGTATTCGTTTTCACGAGGTTTGAAGCCATCATGACTGGAATGGTCGACTGTTGTCACACATCTCTGCGGTGGACTTTTTCAATATCTCTCTTATCCTATGTGGCACCCCATTTGCTTTTACGCTTCACACAACAAAAAAGGGTTTACGTCTTTGCTATTGATTTTGGAACATAAGATTTACATGTTTCAGTAGATTATCTCAATGTTCAAGAAGTGGGGCCAAGAAGTGGGGCCACTAAACAATGTATTCCTAGTTTTCCTAATTCAAATACTTGTTGATTTTTGGACGTACTTGGCATTGTTTTTAGTATTCTTTTTATAGAAAAACAATTAGAGTATATTTTTAACTATTATTATTATACTTGATAAGTCAATTTCAAATAGTACGTTTTATTTTAAAATTTGTCCAAATTCTTTTTTAAGATTTTGGTATTACATTACTTGCTAATTGTTCAAAAGCAAGTTCCTACTTTAAGAGGCTACAAGAGTTGCATATTACAAATCAAGAATATATGATTAGTTGCCTCAATTCCTTACTTTCTTGGTCATTGAGTATTCCCAATTTGTTGTTGCTAAGAAAATATATATATATATATATTTATTTATTTATTATTAATTTAATTTCTTATTTTATTTCTCTAAAAAACTAGTTTCCCTGTACTAGATGAACCAAATTAGAGTAGGACACATTAATCTTGAAATAGACTAGTCAAATCAAATTGTGAAGAAACTCAAGAGACTTCGATATACAATTAGATTGATAGTATGAAAAAATCAACATGCATTACCAAAACTAATTACGACAAAAAAAAAATATATATATATATATATATATACTCGATACATGTTTTTGACTCAAATACTAAATGAAACACGATCTTTTCAGTTGATAAGAGATTGAGTTCATAGTAGAAACTCTAACTTGATCAAGAAAAAAGTAATAATCTTTACTGCTACTACTGCTAAACAGACAACAATGACAACATTTTCAGCATCATCACTTGGTAAACTTCAAAAAGATACACTGATGTCTTGAAGAAGGAACATACAAGTTCTGTTCGACAAATGAAAATACTCAGAATAATGAAGGCAAACTTCAATCTTGCAAACAACTTGCAATGAAGTAGCATGCGGAGGATACAAAAAGCGACGAGTCCTCCCGGGACACGAGCACCCTCGGGCTTGTGAGGAATGGAGCGAATTTTTCATCGAGCTACATCGATACCAGTGCGGATGTATGCTTCGATGGGGTTCCCTAGAAAGAAGCTAGAAGAAGAGTTGTGAGACGAAGAGAGAAAAAGAGAGAGAGAGAGCGCGAGAGAGAGAGAGAAGCAGTGCAATTGTTTCATGAAACAGTTCCAAGCCCTGAGCCATGCGTCAGCGTGGGGCCTGCAACGCGCATGTTGAGGGAAGAACCCAACGCAAGCGGAGGAGTATGGGCGCTGTCAGCCAGCGGCGAGAATCGAGAAGAATTTCTGGAAGAACGCGAGCGCACATCGCCAGAAAAGCTCCAATCATCAAGCAGTGGCGAAATTTTCCTGGCTCGGGACGACGTGCCGAACAGCCGTCGTGAAGAAGCAAAATCCCTTTGTTTTCTTCTTTTGTTGTGTTGTGTTGCACACTCTATTTCTTTCTCTCTTTCTCTCTCTCTCTCTCACTCTCCTCTCGTCGTGAGGAAAGATGTAAGGCTGGGAATCAAGCGAATGGGGATGGGTGCTCGCCCGCCTCTGTCAGTCCATTCGTGGCCACAGAATGCCGATCCATCGCCACAGCACGGCCTGCTTTGCTTGTCTCCCCACATGGCTAGAGCTTCTGCCCACGCTTCCCTATGCTCTCCTTCGTCGATCCACTCTGACACGGACTCATGCATCGCTCCATCCTCAACAACACCAACTACATCAACAAATTGTGACAAAAGCAAACACACCCGCCCACACACACATACACACACACACACTTACATATGTACACACATGCACATACATACATGTACATGTACATGTACACACGCTTTCCTCACTTCTCCTCCTCCTTCTCTGTGGAGTCTTTGCGAAACGTTGTTGCACTTCTCAAAACAAAAAGCATTCTGCTGATCTTGTGTGGGTGCTGTGCACTAGAAGTATTTTTCCACCCCTTGAATCTCTCACAAGAGCCGGTTTTAGGGTTTAATTAGAAGAGATTCTTTCTTACATGCACCTTTCAAGGTTTTTACACAATGTTATAGAGTGTTCAGGTAGCAAATTACGTCTTAAGATGTATTCTTAGTAAAGACAATGTTTTTTGAAATTTAAAAAAAAATATTTCATAAGTCATAACTTATAATGATCAATCATTTAAAAGGTGAGAAGGGAAGAAAATTAGTTGAAGCAATACATGACAAACTATTACATCCACAAATTCTAAAATCACTAAAAATCACAAACATGGTTTACATAATTAGATAAAAATTGATAAATTTTGGTTTCAATTTCTAATACAAAACATTCAAATATAAACAAAATGCAAAAATAAAAACAAATTAGACATGTCATGTGATTTTTTTTGTAAATAAAGTCATATTAAAAAATTTATAATAAATAAAAATAAAAAAAACAAATTAAGGTTTGAGTCAAATTCTTAGTGATAATATAGTTTTATTTAGAAAAATAAAATAATATACTAAAATATTATCTATTTTCTTTTAATTATAATAGATATTAAAATATTAAATCTGAATATTTAATTATATATTAATGATTATTTTATATTTATTCTATGCATATATAATTAATATTAAATTATTAATGCAAAGCCATTTTTTGGATTTCAATTTGTTTGCTAAAATTTTCACTTAAAAAGCAATCAATTTGAATAAACCAAATATTTATATTAATTTCTAAAAAATTCATACAATCATACATAGATTTAAGGAGAGACCTCAAGCTTGTAAAATTTGGAATTAGACTACTCTGCTCCAATATAAATTGATATCTAATCTTTAGAAATAGAAACCTTTAAAAAAAATTATATATAATATTTTCTCTATAATCTAATATGGTTGGTGGACAAAAACAATATTAACTAATACAAGAATTAAAATACCTATAAAAGATTTGATCATTGTGTAATAAATTTTGCTTATAAACCCTAAAGATTCAACGAAGTAAATATGTCTTCAAAATGAGATATAGAATGATCACCACACAAAAACTATCATATAAAGAGGTATAATAAAATATGGACAAATTACTTTAAAAATTAATGATTTCTTTTTTAAAAAACCTCCTCAAACATGAAAAAACTACTTAAAAGATTTGAGACAAAATATAATTTGAAAATCACCTAATTAATGCTCAATTACACTAAGTAATTAAATGGAATTTAAAAACAATACAATGTGGTGTAATTATATACCAGAGTATAAAAATACTAAGAGAAATAGCAAAAACTCAATATAATATTCTTAGGTTTTCTCCATAGGTATTAGGAATTATGAAAATTATTTTATAGTATGTTTTATTTCTTCAATGTATTAGATAAATCCTATTTTCAAATTAAAACATTTATTTATAATAATCATTTTGTTGTCATGTATATATTTGATGATATTTTATCAATTAAAATATTTAATTAAAATTAACACGAATTATCTTTAGGGAAAAAAAGTGTATATTTAAAATATTTATAATACTCAAAAAGATATTAATATATACTTTTGAAATAAGAAACTAGTTAAGGATCACAAACATTATCCCAACACAACAAATCTAAATATCAATCAACACATATAAAATACTAATATAAAATATTAGTAAAATGAACCATGTGAGACAAATAACAAAGACAACAAACAAAAAAGACACCACCAAATCCTATCACAAGAAAAAAATTGTCATTGAACTCATCAACTTCACAAAAATCATGCTTTAGAAATGGACATGTTTCCAAGAGAAGAAGAAGACAAAGGGGGGAGAGGGAAAGAGACAAAGGGATTGAAGAGAACAATGGTACCATCAAGAGAAATAAAATTAGGTAAATAAATAGATAGATATAAAGATATATAGAGAGAGACAAAGTTTTACTAGAGGATGTGACGCCACTACCACCACCAGGGTGCACGGAGCTGGACGGTGGGTGGCCTTGGAAATCGATGGCTACCTCGCACCTTCTCACTGCGCCACCACACCCACTTCACCAATCTGTAATAAAATAAAATAAAAACACAAAACACAAAAGAGTACACTAGATAGATAGATAGATAGATAGATAGGTAGACAGACAGATGGATAGATAAGTAAACATATAAACAAACATAGAAGCTAGCAAGCAGAGGAAGCAAGGAATGAAGCAACGGTGGCGAGATAGAATGGAAGCTAGTGGCGATGGTGATGGTGGTGGTGCTACTGCAGCAAGCAGAGTAAGGCGGCGTCGCTGCCGGCCTCGAACCAGGCGATGGCAGCACCAGCCACGAATGGGAAGCGCGTCCGTTGCCGCTGACTGCAGCTCAGC